CCAGTTAACATTTATTTATTCATTCATATTTTTTAATCTCTCCAGTTTTAAAGGATATTGTTGGTTTACTGCCCTAAAAGCTTATTAATGATTTATAAAGTGTTCACAACCTAATTAATAAATTAATTGCAAACTATTCGTAAACCCTTTATAAGGGTAGTCTTATTGTAAAGGGGTACCGCATTTAGCTCAAAGGACCACCGTGCATAAACCTCACAGAGCTGCTAGCATGTTTTATGTGAGGGACTGCGGATGGAAATTAGCTCAAAGCTAAATCTGGCACTGTTACGCTTGACACATTTTAATGTTTTAAGTGTTCATTATTGTGCATTGTCCATGCCAAATAAACGATTAAATTAAAAAATTAAAAAAATGACTGTAGCCTCTTAGTTAACTGTTTCCCTGCTTTAGGCTTTTTCCACTCTTTATGCCAGCATGTTAGCATAATCATTGTTGGCATGTTTCACAATCTGACGTAAGCCTTTATTTCAAAGCACTGCAGATTCTTAGTGCAGGTTCACAGAGTCCCAAGCATGCCTCTAGATTATAAGTGTTGGTATGCCTAAACTAGAACTTAAAGTTTTAGGCTACACAACAAATAAACTTCTCCCTCTTCTCTCTAGATGACAGTCAGCAGATCATGGCATGCACGCTTCTCAGTACTGACCTACCTGCAGATCATGGTTTTCTACAACTTGTTTACCCTGCTCAGTGTGCCTGCTGCGGTGCTCCACATCCGAAAGCTGGTCATGCAGCTGCTACTTGATGAACAGCTTGAGGTAATGTATGTGCAAAAAGGCAGCAAAGTAAGGTTTAGTACAGACATTGCCCCTCTGCAAGGTATAAATGTCAGAGGAAAATAAATGAACACTTATTGTCCCCTAGTTTTTCCTCAGTAAATCTTAATCCATCTTCTCTATTCACTGTTATTGCTTAAAAATAACCCTCTACATCTCTGCTCAGCTCCCTCATTTGTTTTCCTGTGTTGGTGCCTCTCTTTTTGAGTGGTTACAGGGCTGTTGATAAAGCACAATGGCCGTCTTTAAACTCCTTTGTGGCTATAAATAATCCATAAGTAATATGAATCTTATCCCCCAAAATATATATGGAAAAATTCTATTAACTTTGACATTTAATCTCAACAGACTCATGTCTATTTCAAAAATGCAAAAAATCTACTACAGAATATATCTAATGTTATATTGAGAAAAATTATCTTCTGTACAATGTCCAAACTGGACCCTTTTCTATTGATCAGGATGAACAGGTAATACTCAATAAACACTAAGCTTTATCTGGGTCGTCTATTTTTCCAAAAACAGTTCCGTATCTCACAGTATTTTGTAAACTGTGTTAGTGTACAGCTGGTGAATGTTTTGTCTTTGTGTCATTGTCTATTTTAATACAGCAACCGTCACTCATTTGCCTATTCATAATTTATGCAAAGTGATGCATCGATGTTCTGCAAGTGAATTTTACCTCCGCCTCCTCCCTATTCTCCCCCTGCTCTGCTCATCTTTGTCCCGTGTATCTCGCCTTACCCCGATCTCCTTGCACTCGCCTCTTTTAATAAATTGTTTATGCGTCTCTCGCCCTGAAACTGCCTCGTGGATTCCTCCGCTTCCTTTATTTGTCGGTTCTGATCTTCACCGGTCTATTTTTTCTTTCTTCCTCTCTCATTGCTCTCCCTCCCCCTCCTTCTCCCTGTAGGTGAGGGACATGGCAGGCACCACCCTCAGTGGTTTACTGCAGTGCCAGTTCTTCCCCCTGGACTCCAGTCTGCAGACAGAGCTCCAGACGCTGAGTCAGACTCGCCTCCCCAGGGCCAGGGGGGAGCTGGCCTCCACAGGTGTACACACACACACACACACACACACACACACACACACACACACACACACACACACACACACACACACACACACACACATACACACACACACACACATCGCAATCACACAATGAGGCAATCACAGTAATACTTGCACTATTACCCTTTGCTTATCCAAGGGGAATTGTGAACCTTGAAATTGTAAGGTGTTTTTCAACATAGTTGTGTGTGTGTGTGTGTGTGTGTGTGTGTGTGTGTGTGTGTGTGTGTGTGTGTGTGTGTGTGTGTGTGTGTGTGTGTGTGTGTGTGTTTACAGATTTAGTGCGGCGCCATGCTGGAGTGCTTGGCCTCAGTGCTTGCATCCTGTCGAGCCCCTACGACGTCCCAGACTGGATGCCTCAGATACTCATGGATCTGAGCGACCACCTCAACGACCAACAGCCTATAGATGTAAACACACAAACACACACACACACACACACACACACACACACACACACACACACACACACACTCACACTCACATACAAACATCTAGATCAACACAGTGTGAGCTGAAAGAATACAATTTCATTGTCCAATTGAGGAGAAAATTGTGTCTTTGGTCTTACTTCAGGCATGAAGAAGACGTACAATGTAATCTTTAGTGCAGAGTTTGAATAAAACGTTACAGTAGTGGCAAAAGTGAAAGAAATGAGAGAAGAAATAAAATTGAATACAGTTAAAGAATATATTTGCCAGCAGGGGAATTTTTTGCACAACTATTCTTTTCAGAAGCTTTAAAACTTCTGTAATAAAATGGTAGCCGTTGATTTTCCGCTGAATATTAATGATATAATATCTTGGTTTCTTCAGGCAGACACTATTCTCAAAATCTGTTTGAGTTTGTCAGGCCACAGGCACTTCCTTTCTTAAAATCTATTCTAATCATTTTGTTTGAAGGCCATGATGTAAAATAAATGCAGTTGATATTTAAGTCATGAAAATGAGCTTCTCTCTTTTCTGTTCGTGTCCTTGTTGAGCCACCAACTTTTCACTCCAAACTTGTTTTCCCTTTAAATAATTTATTTGCGGTGGATTTTAAATGGATATATGTGGCAATTTAACATCAATAAATTATAACTTTCTCATTAGTTTTTTATCAATGCAAACAAATGCTAGCAACATTGTCAGCTGCTGTTAGCTTCTACACCGCTACATTTCACCCTGTGCCGTTTTTTTACAAGTCTAAACAGGAACTATTTACTTTGCAAGTCATTCTTGTTCTTATGCCTCGTTCTTCTGTTAAACATGAAGGTCGCTCTTGTGTAAACACTGATAGTGGCTTTAAGCTCTTAACTTCTTGGCCTTTGAATAACTAATAAAGCAACAAATAAAGAACTATTACAATCCTCTTTATTGCAGGATTTTAAAGACAATGTAATTATTTCCATTGAAATGTCCTAATTTCGTAACAACCGCTATAAAGCTGCCACTCCAGTGATGGAATATTATAGTTCTCAATGGGATTCCCTACTGAATCTTTGAGGAAGCAGATATGCTGTGAATGTTTAAAAATAATTTGTGTTTTGATGTTAAAATCCTTCATTGTAAGTCTTGGATAGAAATTAATAGAAAATGTATTGTCTAAAATCCTGTTTATATTTGTATTGTATATATTTGTCACTAAACAAAAGTTTGGCTCTAAATGATATGTTACATCTCGCTAATCCAGCTGTCTTTTATTAACAATGTCTTAATCACTCAAAGTGTATGTATGACGTAACATAACATAGACAAACAGATGTTACTTTTAATCAATAGCAATGCAACATAGTTGAAATGAATGTTAAGTGGATCTCAATTACGGTTTTATCTTCAGTTATCGAATAAAGCCAGTAAGTAAAAAGTGCAGTATTTCCCTCTGAAATGTAGCAAGGTATATCGATTTGAGGTGTCTTGTAAGCCTATACAGTGTGTGAGATGGGCAAAGATAGACATGTCATTCATCCACAACAATTGAAGTGTTCCCATGGTGTCAGTATGATGATGGTGTTTGTTGTTCTAAGATGACGGTGAAGAAGACCTTGTCGGAGTTCAGGCGTACTCACCACGATAACTGGCAGGAGCACCGGCAGTGCTTCACTGACGACCAGCTGCTGGTGCTCACAGACCTGCTGGTGTCGCCCTGTTACTACGCCTGACTGCCCCCTCAGATCCTCCACACACTGACCCAGCAGAAGAATAACTACAGCTGATGTAGTGTTGGGTTCCTCTGTGCAGCCTGTTCAAATGACGTCAGATATTGTAGCAGTGGCTGAGGGCCCTGTCTCTGGAATCTCACATGCCAAAGTTGGCATTTAAATCCGTCAGAAAAGCAGCACTGGGCTAAACGGGTTCAAATATTTAACTTACTTGGTGTGTTCATTTCGTCTCGCCAAGCAGCTCAGCAGCCCCAAAGGTGGCAACTTCATTTAAAGATAATCGGCCTTTAGTTGAATTGTTTTAATGCTGTGGAACATTTCACTGCAGTATGTATTGCTCTCTTTCTACCTTTAAGATACATTCAAACAATTGGTAATAAGTAGTAATCATATATGAGCATATAAACAAATGAATATGAAAAATGGTCATTATCATTACCAAATACCTAATGGTAGTTTGACAGTTACAATTTAATAGTTATACAAATGTAATACTTATCATGCAATGTGATAATGTTTATAATAATATTACTTAATATATAAAGCTTAATATAATAATATATGCTACTGTATGATATGATGTATTGATATGCATGTATGCAACACTTATAAGTGTATACATATAATTATGAAATGTAACTAACTATCACATTCCTACATGACCCACTGTGTTGTGTTATACAATAGCTCAACATTGAGAATTTCCTGTTGTTTCCTGTGAATAAAGTCACGGCATCATTTGTAACGAGATGTTTTTATTTTAGAGAAGAAGATTGAGCGTGGAATGCTGTGTTCTCCAGGGTTGATTGATCATTTGAAATACCAGCAGCTTGTCGGTGCACATTGATATGACATTCATGTCCACAGCAGATAGCTCTGTACAGAGACAGAGATCAAACACAGATGAGATGTCTCTCCCTGCACGGATGCTTTTCACTTATGTTGTGCAGATGCTGCTGTGTTAAAGAGAGACATGATCACAGATAGAGCTGTCATCGTTTTTATTCTGCATGTTGACTTTTTCTGATGCAGTACTGTTGACTTTGATATGTTCACTGTGCTGAGACGTGTGCTGGCAGAATGAGAAACACCATGGCTGTTCAGCCCAATCTGGAGGAAACAATGTGTGCTTATGTGGCTGTACACTGTGTGATAGTGTGATTAAAGCAGTATGATCATTCCAACTGCACAAAAACATGGATCTTATATCACCAAGAGTGATCAGGAAAATGTACCATATACAGTATACATAAGCAGCTTAGACAAGATACTCTGGAAAGTTCTCTGGGCATGACTGATACGTTTTCCCAATTCTAATATTGAATATAGTTTTAGTTATCTAAAAAAAAAGATCATAAGTTGTCTGGGAAACCTTTGTTTCTTTACAGTGTAATTTTAATCATCTAAATAGCCCTTTACAATCATAAATCGGCATAATCAAAACATCACTTGTAGATATTTGTTATGAGATTTCTGTCTCTGTTGTTTTTATAAAGTGGCACAACAATCATATACTGAAAAGTCATGCACTGCTTTGGGTTCTTTAATGAATTTACTACTGAAGTTGCGTCCGTTCTATATTTCAAAGAGCAGTTAACGCATAAATCACATTTTTATGTTTTAAAATCAGACAAAATGTGTATGTAAATATATCCCCTTAAATATTTGTCATTTTCATTAACTTCAAAGGATCTCCATAAACATTCAATGGAAGGAGTCATCGTACGTGTAGTCAAGCTTATTCAAAGATGATTTAGTGGCCAGCATATTTCAATACATTTTATTAGCAATGTAAGGTGTTTTTTCTGAATATTTTTGACAGTATTGTGACATTGTAGTGTAACAATAAAAACAGACTTTGCCAACACATTTTCTGTACCCAACAAATATCCTTATCTGTTTTTAAACCCTGAGAGTTTTAAAGATATCATCAAAATTAACCTGTTTGAGTGTGTGAGTGTTTCTGCACACTGTGTAGTCTTTCTCTCACTAAAGTTTCAAGAGAAAACAGGTGTGTGTCTGTGTCCTCTGGAAGGATTGTCCTCATAGCATCAGCTAGTTGAAACAGGTACTCTGTGTTCTTCCCACTTGGACCGGTAGAGCTGACAATCTGATTGGCTATCTCCTCCAGGGGGGCGGGGCCGAGGTAGTCTGGATTGTCCTGAGAGCCGATGTAGAGCAGCGTCTGGCTGGGCGGCGCAGAGAGCGGTGGACGGGGGTGAAAAGTAACAGTGATGACCTGATAACCACCTTTTTCTCGGTAGTCAAGGTAACTCTTCACTTCCTGCTCCCGGCCGGCCGGTAGCTTGTAGGCAACGCCCCAAACACACCCCTGAAGAAGAGTCGAAGAAGAAATATTGATTGGCATATATAGAAAAGAATGAAGTATAGCCACATTTAACAAATTTGATAGTATGACATTTTTTCAAACAAGGTGACCGAATTCACAGGCTCAAGCTTTTAAATGACTTCTATGATAGTAAACTGACCATCTTATAAAGTTGGTCTGAAAAAACAATCAATTTGAAGACAATAAACGTTCACTTTAGGAAACTCTTAAAAGCATGTGTCGCTTTTATCTGACAATTCATAGACCAGGCTGTTAATGAAATATTAATCAAGAAAAAAGACTGCAGAATAGTACAATATAAAGATGAATTGGTTACAACCTTTAGTAAAACAGTTTTTATTGGCTTAATTTTTTTTATCACAACCTGTTTCTTCCATAGAATGATGAATTTGACCTTAAGATAATCATCAGTCTACTCTAAATGGATGTTTTTATAGATGCTTACCATGGTGTTACTACATTACACACTCTGTATCTCTCAATCTCTTTCCCATCAACTGCGAAAAATGATCTCTTGGTCAAGGTCGGAAAATAATACACCGTCCTTTCTTTTGATGAAAAATGCCATCTCCTTTCACTGCCATTCAGCCTGTTCAGCTTTGCAACACATAATGCATGTTTGCAAATAAATAAATATCCATACAACTATGACAGTCCACTGTTTCTTCTATACAGTTTGATAAAAACAGGAGGTAAGTGACTGCAACTTAAAAAAGTGAAACCCCATTTGAAAAAGTTTGCTGTTTTTGAAGATGTACTGCAAGTTTGCTGGCCCACACGTTGCATGTTTTCTTTTAATTATACTTAATAACACCGCAGTAATTACGGTCCTCAGATGGTGATATCTTTTATTACTGTTTAATTAACATGAGATTGTGTTTGCTTTTCCCCTTAACCTGACTAATCTTTTGATGAAAACATCATAATCATATTAACTATGTCAAATGTAATTCATTTAATAAAGATGTATACCTCTTTTAGAATGATTAATACTATTAACATTCGTTTTATTAGTTAGTTGATGCTATAAAAGGGTAAAGAGGTTATGATTGAAAGCTTTAATTGATAGCTGCTGTGAGTGAACATAGGGTAGGGTCACTTTAAACTTCCATAAATTGATCATCTGTTCCAAGTGTACTGTATATCAAGATCTTTATATAGAGATGATATAACTAGTGGTTTCTGTCCAAAACCAATTTTCTTATCAGGCAAAGATGATTGCTAACCGTGTGCCTGTCCAACTCCAATGTGACTACTTTCTGCCATTCTCTGCATTGTGTTATTGCAAACTGACTGATTGCTTTTTGGAGTGTTGCTCTGACATAACAAGTCATCATGAACTCTAAGATAGTAGACATTTTCCTCCATTTTCTAGACAAAACACTTAATCGAGAAAGTAATTGGCAAAGTAATAGACAGTGAAATGAATCATTAGTTGCAACTCTATTACAGAGGAATGTATGGTACCATTACGTTTAGGAATGGTTGCTCTTACCTCAGGATCCTCCACCAGTGTCACCACCCGGCCAGGCTGTAAAGGACACACACAGAGGAGTAAGCACTTTAAAACAGCAGCAAAATCACATGAGCAATCATATGACATAATATACAACTTCACAGACAAAGGTACCTTTATACTTCAGAAGAAATCTCATTTAAAATATTCAAAATATAACAAAGTATAAAGTTAGACCTGAGTAACAACAGCACAATGAGCTGCTGTTTGAGGTCTAACTCATTTTAAAATATGAAAATGTTTTGTGGATCTAACCTTAATGACAATATCCTAAAACGTTCCTTCGGTAACTTAGAATGAGTAGTTAAGGCAATATAACCGGCTAAATGTCCTGTGTTTTTACAGTATGAACAATGTCGACACTGACAAATATGCAGTCATAACTTTGAATATGAATCCATGAGTTACCGGGCGGTAACCAATAACCTTTCTGTAATGTATCCCATTATTAGACATTAAGAGGGTTTCTTTCATTTCTGCTTTGGCTTTTTTGATAACACATCATTGAAGCCGACAGACATGGCAACATTGCGTCAGTTATTTGGACTAGAAAAAGCTTTATATGGTTCCGAAAGACAAAAACGTACACTCACCTTACCCGGTATCCCCCGGTGATCGGTACTTCCCTGCCAAAACCGACGGCTGAAGCCTTTTATGTAACCAATTCTCTTTTCCTCATAAGGGAAATCCACTTTCCATATAAGAGACCCGTACCCAAAAACCCACATAATAAGACCTTAAAATAACAGTCACTGCGAGGACGATATGTACGGCTTAAGCTGAGGCAACTGCCAACACTGCAGTCCGGAGGCTACAACGAAGTCATAAAACTATCATAATAGAAGTGTACGCCCTCAAAGTGTAGTGCTAGCTATTTTAAATTGCTATTAAATGTATAATATGTCATATAAAGTAGTAACGCCCATTCAATAAATGACCCCGGGCTATTTTGTCAAGTCATCTGCGTTACGTAATTCCACATACTTCCGCTGAATAACTTTCAGTATAAAGTGAACATTTCGATCATATTGTTATTTTTTAAAAATTAACTAATTTAAGGGGTGTTCGGCAGCTTACCGCATAGCCAAGATGCCTTTTTTATGGCATTTTGTTTATGCACGCTATTTCGTCTCTTTTTTAGCATGCCTTAAAGAACGTCTTGCTTTTATTTTGAAGGCCAGTCGCCATTCCGGAAGTTTGTACCTATTTCAGTATACAATCTAATTTGGAACAACCTTCTCAAAGCAGTCCATGTGTCAAACCAATAACAACTCAAATACCTTTATCAATCTAATCCACACATGTTTTTGTATGCCTTTTACAAGTAAGCCAAATAACTATACGGTTGCGGTATGCCATCTTCTTTACCAAATAGGGCTGTATAAATATTTGCCTTTTTCAAATGTTGTATTTTACTTTATGTTTGGGACAGTAAAACATGAACTACTTAATTTTTTGTCTCACTTAGAAACCTATTGCCTTTATTTATGTAATTAAAAAGTAATAACACATCAAGAGAAAATGTAGCTGACACTTTATTGAATTGCTGGCTTCTAAATTTCAATAATTTCCAATAAAGTATGAAATATTTTAGCTGAAAAGTCTAAATAATATTTTCATCAAAGTTGGTGATCTATTGATATATTTGGTATGATAAAGAGACTACAGTATAGGATAAGAATACAGACTTTACAACTGCATTGAAAGCAAGGAGGCTTAGCCCAATCTTATTTGAGATGTTACTCTTACTCTAAGACTATTTAGAATGTTACATTACAAAAGGAAAAGCTCCGATATCCTGAACGTTTTGATGTTGAAATGAAATGTCTACATTGAACGAGATTAAATGACCATAATAAAGATTTAGAAGCAGGTGCCATAATTGTCCATTCACACTTAATGACACATTCATAATGAATAAATCAGGTTATATGGGGGGGTGAAAGAGCACCGTAGACAATGGTCATCATTTTTATGAGCTGAATGACCTGTTGATCGATGTTTCGCAAAGTCCTGCATCTTCTTATAGGCTGCCTTTCATATGCACACATGTATGTTCAATTGATGACCACTTGTGCTTTTGCATTGGTAAAAACCTGAACTGGGAAATATAACACAGGAAATATAGCTTTATGTCTGGACACCAGGGGGTGCTGAGTTTCTATTTCCCTCAGTGTTTTATTGTGTGTTCTCCAAAATAACATGCTCCTCATGTAGCCCGTGTGAGCACTGATTCAGAACCAAACAAAGTGGACAGCTACAGCCTGGCCTGTAATGTCAGCTCCATGAACAGCAGCCGTGCTCATTCCTCTGCCTCGGAGAGAAGCTTGTCAGCAAATATTTTATGTAACCTACCAGCCTTGAGTTTAGAGAGGCCGGTTTGTGGTTGAAATCCACAGCTGGACTGAAAAATGCTGCTGTGGAAACATCAGCCATAAAGACACTGTTATTCAAGAAATTAAAACCAAGTCTGGTGCAGTGGAGCTAATCACTAGAGATCACCTCTGAGGTGGGAATATGGGTAAATGTGTGCATGAATAAACATAAAAATAAGGTCATAGCACTTCCAGTAATTAAAAGCAGCATTTTCCCTGCTGTGAAAAATACGACCTATTTAAAGTGACTATAAAATGCTACAGCGCTACACAGAAGTGTTTCACATGCTTAATCCTGCTCCAAATACCTTAAACTGTACGTACACATAACTTTAATCTCATCTATTTGTGGATAAACACCACAGAGATAAAAAGTGATAGAGATACAAAGAAAAGTGTGCATATTTTAGCAGCATGCAGCATTTCAAGCAAACAAAAAATGAAGGCAGATATCCCCTTTACAGTCTATTTGTTTTCTAAGAAAATGAGCTTTTTTTGTTGTAGAAACATTCAGTATCTACTAAGTGAATTCGGCAAATCTATTTGAAAAAAAAAGGAAAACAGAGATGTTGCAGTAACTATGAAGATAATCGAGAGGAATAAATGGAAATAGAATGTGGAAAACATGTTGTCAGTAAGAAAAGCATTGTGTCAAACACTATAATCTGAAGCCTTCAATTTTACAAATAAAAGAATCCATATTATAATCCAATATTTATTCATGATGCTATCAAAAAGTCATAATTGCCAAACAATGAGTCAGTGTAAACATCTCAGTTGTTCTCCCATTCTTCATACATGTTACGTAAACTTTGCTTCTCATAAGCCTTCTTCCTCTCTGACAAGAACGTCTCAGTTTCTGTCTCTTTTCCCTTTGCTCCACCTCTTTCTTTGTTCCTTCTCCAACTCCAGAGCTTTCACTAAACCTTCTTATTCTCTTGCTGCAAAGTATTATGTCGATACATTGGGGAGCTGACCAAGAAAGAGACTTACTTTCACATTTTCCTTATTTGTACTGGTTTCTTTTCATTTACAAAAGTCTGCATTTTACTTTTAAAAAAAATCTAATTTGATTTAATTGTTGTAGATTTGCAGTAGCTTACACTAGAGCTGCTCCGTGTGCCCTCCACTGGCTAGCTTTTCAAGCATGAGGAGTGAAAAAGGAGTCGAGTGTGTAATCCTCGCAGGCTATATACTGGCAGGGGTTCTCCAGCACCAAGACTCCTGCAATGCCTCCCTGCAGCAAAACTGGGTATCATGCAGTCCCAGGCTGAACTGCAAGGGTATCTCACAATAGCAGTTGGCTCCAGAAGTGTGTCTCAAAGGCCCACCAGTGAGTGGATACGCCCCTGACTCGCCAACCACTGCCCCACCTAAGGGTCACCATTGAACCCTGATGGTAAAACGCGGTCTGGACCCAATGAGGCAGTTCAATTATTTGAATCATTGTTCTGGCAAGTCAGTGGTTGGATCATGCCAGGGAGGACAAGAGGGAAACCCTGATGCCTAAGCAACACAGGGCCTGCATACACTTAGCCCAGGCTTCTTATGCCCTGCAGAGGAGATTCCAAGAGACGCCCACATTTTACTACACAGCTCCTGCCTGCCTCAAAACTGGGCCCCTAGCTGAATACACACTGTAGCGGGCAGCATTTATTTTGTTGTGATTGCATATAATGTGCTCCAAGGATGTCTGTTGGCAAAACCTCAGGTCCTTCACCCTGTCACCTGAAAACATGGCGCTGACCATCTTCATCACCACAGCCTACAGGCAGCAGCTGAGGACAAGTGAACTTGTCTTTGAGAGTACGCGCTAAAAACTCAGAGATAAGAAATGCATTGTTCCACGAGAATGTGGATTCACTGCGGTCATTCTTCATGGCTGGAGCTGTTAATATCCAGAACATCTTTTATATATTTTTGTTTCAGCTAAGCTTGAAGGCCATATGGAGGGTTCGATTTTCCTTCCATCAGGTAAGTCTTTCTTATTGCTCAAACACGTGACCACTGCTGATGGCTTGTGCTAGCACATACTTATCAAATCTATCATCATTTGGCTTAGGGGAACTATTTAGAACAAATAATAATATCCTGAATTGATTGATTTACCACCTCCACAGGAAAGTATAATTTAGACAAGATAAGTATAGATAACTAAATATCCAAACATTTACAAAAAACAGTTCCTCAATAATTCAGTTTTCTTTTTTAAATATGTCAATCAAGATGAAATTACGATTCAATGTTGAGGTCAAATTGTGTTAGTAGCCTACATCACATGAACAGGCCAATAGGCTACATTAAAAAATAAAGCATGTACAGTACAGCTTCTAAATCATCATAAATATAAAACAAGATGTATGTTTATTGGCCTAAACATTTCCTTAAAACGTTACAGATTATTTGCAGCTAATAATAATAATTAAATACAAATTCTTTGTTCTCACGTGATCTCGAAATTACGCGAGAACGAGCTATTTACCTGAGAGAAATAATGCGCTCGTCTTGCTTACCCAACTCCCACATGGGGAAATGCTGGCGAATCTTCCAATGAAGTCAATATAATGCTTGTGTTTGCAAAGAAAACTAGAACAGACAAGTGTGCATGTATGGTCCTGTTACTAATGGGAAGGATAAGAATAAAAGAAGCTAATAGCGATTTTCTAAAAAACTATTTCGTTAGAACGGGAGGGACTGTTTGGTCCTCGTGTCTTTAACCGCTGTGTCACATTCCCCTTAACCTGCCTGCTACTTCCTCTCTGGTTGAGCTTTGAAAATAGATTTGTTCAGTTTGCAAAAATTCTTTTTTTTGCACCAACCACCTGCATGATCTTCTAACTAACTTCCGATATTTAGCGGTTTTCCTGGAGCGATTCAGGTCTTCAAAACCCATCCAAAGGTCTCCTCCATACTGACTCACTCAGACAGTGGTGGTTGCACACAAAACAAACTCTTGAACCTCTGACTCCATCTCAGCAGCGAGGAATTGGCAAGCCGAGTCATAAAAGTCCACTGTATGTAGAGAGCAGAGTTGAGTGGGCCATTTTGGGATGTGAGGCCTCAGACTGTTTGATCCTGAACTGCTCATATGACTCCTGAGGTTTCTCTTGTGGGCTCACAGGCTCTTTGAATGCAGCCACATCCATCAGCACTGTTGTAAGCCTACTTGCCTGAGAATTGCTATTCTGCCTATTACAACTAATAATGATGATGTGGAAGACATTAAGAAAGTCATTATTTGCTAGTCGATATTATCTATTTTGACTCAGTTTTTACACTGAGACTGCAAGAACATCATTTGTAAAAATGTTGGACCAGGACAAGCATTGACTAATGATACTATTTGAATTATGTTCACATTGGTATGACTGATATTGTCCCTCCGCCTTCAAACAGGATGTAACAATGGAAATGATAATAAAATAGATGGTTTCATATATCAATGCTTTGTCGTAGCAGCAACAAAAGCCAAACATCTGTAGGCCATGTGATGATAGACTTTTTTATTTTTTCAGAAATGTAGTTTTTTAAGTTTCTGCCAAAAAAACACTCAAGACAAAAGTTGTTACTTCACTTGGAAAAGTTATTTA